CCTCTTTGGTGTCCCCTGATCACTGGCTCCTGCTAAGGAGTACACCTCCTCATCTAGCCTGTAATGGGCTTCATGGAAGATGTGGGGTCATGGACTCTTTGTGGGCTTTAGAGTCAGACAGACCTGAACTAGAGCTGGGCTCTAATTTTCTTGGGTGACACTGGGCAAACTTCTTAACCTCCCTGAATTAGTTTTCCCACCCATGCACTGAGAGGAATAACATCAATCCTATGGGACTGAGATCATGCATAATTGATATCAAATTCTCTCGCTTTGGGACTTAAGAAAACTTTCCCAATTAGTTCCTGTCAAATGATGCCTCCTTCCCCAGCTTCTTCTGCCCTACTCTTGCAACCTTGCAATCACTTCCTTTTCTACTCTCCTGGAATGAGGGTTGGGGTGGTATTTATGGTTCTAGGTTCCTAGATATTTTACCTTTGCCCTCAACTTAGTTCCCTTGAACCTTTCTGTGTTCACGTAGTGAGCGCAAGAGCTAGCTGTTTGGGAAGGTGACTGGTTCTACAGTTTAACAAAGCTTGTTTCTTCACCTCTTGCTCCAGGGTGGTATCTGTGGCTGAGTGACTGGGTATCAAGCTCTTCATTTCCCCAGATCCTGGACATATTAGACCAGCTCTTTTCAACTGCCAGAATTAGACTTCCTGTGTACAACTTGTACAGAGTAGAGATGAATGATATACCCCGATATAACTAATAACAACAAGCCTTCCTAGGCTTAATTGTTTCTCTAGGTTCTCTTTAATGACTCATTACTTAAGAGTAAACCCTCTTTCTGTCTCTTCCCAGAGTGATGCTTCAGGATACTAATACAGTTCTATTAAAATATGCTGTTGTTTTGTTGTTAGGTGCTGTTAAGTAGGTTCTGACTCACAATGACCTTATGTGCACCAGAACGAAATACTGCCCCGTCCTATGCCATCCTCACAATCATTGTTATGTTTGAGCCCATTGTTGTAGCCACTGTGTCAATCCATCTTGTTGAAGGTCTTCCTCTTTTTCGTTGACCCTCTACTTTACCAAGCATGATGTCCTTCTCCAGGGACTAGTCCCTCCTGATAAAATGTCCAAAGTACTTGAGTCTTCTAAAGAAGTCTATCCTTGCTTCTAAAGAGCATCTGGCTGTACTTCTTCCAAGACAGATTTGTTCATTTTTCTGGCAGTCCACGTGTCTTAGTTATCTAGTGCTGCTATAACAGAAATACCACAAGTGGATGGCTTTAACAAAGAGAAATGTATTCTCTCACAGTCTAGGAGGAGAAGTCTCCATTCAGGGTGCCAGCTCCAGGGGAAGTCTTTTTCTCTCTGTTTGCTCTGGGGGAAGGACTTTGTCATCAATATTCCCCAGTCGAGGAGCTTCTCAGCACAGGGAGCCTGAGTCCAAAGGACGTGCTGTTCTCCTGGCTCTTGTTTCTTGGTGATATGAGGTCTGCCTGTCTCTCTGTTCACTTCTCTCTTTTATATCTCAAAAGAGAATGACTCAAGACACAACTTAATCTTGTAGATTGAGGCCTGCCTTATTAATATCATATTTACAACACATAGGAAAATCACATCAAATGACAAAATAGTGGACAATCACACAATACTGGGAATCATGGCCTCACCAAGTTGACACACATTTTTGGGGAACACAATTCAATCCATAACACCATTATTCTTCGCCAACACCATAATCCAAAAGCATCAATTCTTCTTCGGTCTTCCTTATTCATTGTCCAGCTTTCACATGCATATAAACTGATTGAAAATACTATGGCTTGGGTCAGGTGCACCTTAGTCCTCAAAGTGACATCTTTGCTTTTTTAACACTTCAGAGAGGCCTTTTGCTGCAGATTTTCTCAATGCAATAGGTCACTTGATTTCTCGACTGCTGCTTCCGTGGGTGTTGATTCTGGATCCAAGAAAAATGAAATCCTTGACAGTTTCAATCATTTCTTCATTTATCATGATGTTGCTTATTGATCCAGTTGTGAGGATTTTTTTTTCTTTATGTTGATGTGTAATCCATACCGAAGTCTGTAGTCTTTGATCTTCATCAGTAAGTGTGTCAAGTGCTCTTCACTTTCAGCAAGCAAGGTTGTGTCATCTGCATATCACAGGCTGTTAGTCTTCTTCCAGTTCTGATGCCGCATTCTTCTTCACATAGTCCAGTTTCTTAGATTACTTGTTCAACATATAGGTTGAATAAGTATGGTGAAAGGATGCAACCCTGATACACAGCTTTTTTTTTTTTTTAAATTGTACTTTAGGTGAAGGTTTACAGAACAAATAGTTTCTCATTAAACAGTTAGTACACATGTTGCCCTATGACAATGGTTAAAAACCCCACTACATGTCAACACGGTCCTTACTCAACCTTGGGTTCACTATCACCAGCTTTCCTGTCCTCTTCTGCCTTCTAGTCCTTGTAGCTGGACTGCTGTGCCTCATTAGTCCTGTTTTGTTTTATGGGGCTGACCAATCCCCGGCTGAATGGTGAACCTCGGAAGTGACTTCACCACTGAGCTGAAAGTGTGTCTGGTGGCCGTATTCTCAGGGTTTCTCCAGTCTCTTTCAGGCCAGTAAATCTGGTCTTTTGTGTGTGTGTGTGTGTGTGTGTATGTGTGTGTGTGTGTTAGAATTTTGTTCTACATCCTTCTCCAGCTCTGTGCAGAACCCTCTGTTGTGATCCTGGTCACAGCAGTCAGTGGTGGTAGCTGGGCACCATCTAGCTGTACTGGACTGTCTGGTGGAAGCCTTGGTAGCTGTGG